GTTATGGTAAAATCTCAGTTTCATGGATTTTATACTAAGGGAGATAAACATAAATTGTAAATGACAAAATAATTATTCAATATGATATGTGCTGTGAAGGAAATAGGAAAGAGGATAAAGTAGAGATTCAGAAGGGAGGGCTTGCTTCAGATGGGGAAGACATGGATGACCTCTCTGAGGAGTGACATAGAGGCTAAAGGATGAGAAAGAGGTAGTAGCAGAGAGGAAGATGTAAGAACATTTCGGTCAGAGGAAATGTCTATGCAAAGTCCTGTGAGCAGATAGGGCTTAACGTGTTCTTGGGACTGAAAGAAGATCAGTATGTCTGGAGCACAGATAGTGAGGAAGTGGTGGTATGAGCTAAGATGGAGAGAAAGGTGGGGGAGGCGTGATGTAAGACTTTGTAGTCCTTGGTGAAGGGCTTAAATTTTATACTGAATACAATGTGAAGTTACTGGAGGGTTTTAAACTGTGTATGTTTACGTACTTATGTGTGTGAGGATTTGTGTTGCTGTGATGCAAAATGGCCACATGTGTCAGAATGAGGTTGGCAAGAGTGTAAACGGAAAGACTAGCTAAGACCGGGATTTAAATAATGATTGCTCATAGTAAGGTAGTGACAGTGGAGATGAAGCAAGAGTTCAAAACCAAGATATATAATAGAGATGGAATCGACAGAATCCTATGAATAAATGATAGAAGATAAACAACCCTAAGAAAAAATTGCTAAATGACATGGGAAGTTATTTTGCAGAAGAGGAAACACACATGATCAGTAAACATATTAAAAAGATACTCAACCTCATTGGTAATAAGAAAGTTATAAATCAAGACTAAAATATGATAATAATTTATACCTATTCGATTAACAAAATTTAAGAAACGTGACAGTTCCAAATGCTAGTGAGAATGTAAATTGCTATTATTACTTTAAAAAGCCATTTGTCATTCCTGAGGAAAATTGAGAATATGTCATGGTCAAGACCAAACAATTTAGTCTTAATGATAACCCCTTGAGAAATCTAGGCCCATGAACTCCCTCAGGAGAAATGCACAGGTGTGATTATAGCAGACCATTGGCATCCCAAGGGCCTATCAAGAGACAGCTGGATAAATAGTAGTATGTTCAAACAATGAATTAATATATAGCTGTGAAAAATGAATGAACTAGACTATATTAAATAATGTGGATGAATGTTAAATAATGTTAAGTGAAAAAAATCAATTATAATATTCCATTCCACATAATACTCTTTTTAAAAAGGAAAACATAAAAATAGCTAAAACTAAGTAACTTTCAGTTTGAGAGATTGTTTATATCTAAACAAATTTTTTAAGAATTCAAGAAAATAATAAATAGAAAATTTGAGAGAATGGTTACCTCATAGGGGTAGAGGGGAACAAGTAAATGGCAGAGAGAAGGATAAAATGTGTAATTATGAGTTTTTAGTACTGTTCTAGTTCTTTGATTAGGTGATCAATTCATAAGTGCTAATCAATGATAACTAAATAAGAAAATAAATAAAATCAAATAAAAGAGAGTCACACATAGACTAATGATGACATTGACCTATGATTATGCCTATGCCTATGTCTGGGCACCTGAAGTAAATTATTTTAAAAACCTATTTGACCTAAAATACAATTATAGCTAGGGTAATCTGATAGTGTTTAATGTCTGTAGGTAATTCTTTTGAGATATTTGACTGTAAAAGAAAAATAGCTGATGGTTAGAGGATGTTCTGAGATCAAGAGAGGGAGTTTTTTTTGTTTTTTGTTTTTTAAATGAGATAGATAAACATGATGTTTGTATTCTGATAAGAACAATCCAGGTAGAGACTGATGGAAAGGAATAAGAGGATATAACCAAGGAGTAAAGATCTTGGAAAAATAAAAAGGAATGAGATTCAGAACACACATGGAAGGAATTTTGATAGGAGTAGGGGATCTTTCCTCATTTTGGTAGTAGGAAAAGAGAAGATAGGAACGAATCTATGTAGATTTGTTTGCATTGTAGAAAGAGAAGAGAGTTTGCATCGATGGCTCCAGTAAGATGGGTGATGAATAACACCTAGAGAAATTCATTATTGCTCAAGTAATCGTCAGATTTGAGAATGCATATAAAAATCAAGTAAAAAAATAGATTCCTAGAGAAATAAAATAGAAGGGTTCTGAATCTCAATGGTAAAATGTTTTTTTTTTTAATCAGTTCTCTATATCTAATCTGATTTTATTACATTGTAGAGTTTTGTACAAATAAATATAAATATTATGACTTATTTCACAATTTTAAGTGTTTCTTTCCACCACTGAAACCTCTGTCTTGGAGTCTGTACATCAACTTGTCAGTCATTTTATGGTCTTGGAAGTTATTATGCTATACTGTGATTGAATATACACTACTATAAAACACTTTTTATGTTGTAAAACCTTATATTTAAATCTTTAAATCAAAGATTTGTGTAAATCTATGAGAACAATTTAATTTTATATTTAGGTGAAAATGTTTTAATTTGCATTTTAATTTGCATTTTAATCCCATATTATTGACCATTACTTGTTCTTGGTAGAGGCACAACTTGCTTCCTGGTTTCTGGCATTATCAGGAACTCTGTGGTTTGGTGCCATGGTTCAGCTCCTAGACTCTGGAGCCAGACTCCATGTCTATTACTGGCTATGGGACCTTGGACAAGTTATTTGACTTCTCTGTATCTAAATTTCTTAATCTGTACAGTGAGGTAATAATGAGAGTACATCCACATAGGATTATTGGGAAGATTAAGTGAACAAAATATATTAAAGTGTATAGAATAATGCTTGGCACCCAGAGGTTATAATAAGTTTTAACTGCTATTACATAACTATTGCTAAAGTTTACTCCAACTCTGCTCACATTACTTACTTATTATGCATTTAAGGGTGTGTGAAATGATTCTGCAAGCCAGTAGGAACAGGAAGACTTATGAAGAGGAGGAAAGCTTAGGGCTCAGAAACCACGCAGAGCGGGAGGACAGAGAAAAAGGAGCAGTGCTTTGGTATTGGATACACCTGGATTAAACAAGCACTCCGATGCTTATTAGTTGTGCATAACTGGTGACTCACTAAAATTAAATCTTATTTGTAAAATGAGGACATTAATACCATTTTGAAATCTTGTATAAATGACATAATCCTATAAAGTGCCTGATGGGCGCTAAGAAATGATGCAATTATTTGAATCACTTCAACATTTTTTTAACAAAAAAGTAGCAGCATATTTTATGTACAATTTTTAAATTTTAAAGTTAACGTTATATTAGGGTCATATTTCCATGTCATTATTCTAATACATAAAAATATTTAAAAGCTAATAGTAGCCTATTAAATATATATACCATAATTTAACCAATTCCCTATTTCTGAATATTTATTTTGTTTCCAATATTTTCTACTATTAACGATTAAATAATGAATATCCATGATGATGAACCTTGGTATTCCTGTTATTTTTGTTTAGTAAGTGAAATTGTTGGATCAATCATATGTATATTAATTGTCCTCTAGAAGGCTTGTACCAGTTACACTTGCAGAAGCAATGATGAGTGTGCTTGCTTCTTTGTACTCTCACCAATTTAGATATTATTTTAATTTTTGATTACTGTAAACTTAGACAAAAATAGTATTTCAATGCATTTATTTTTATTACCTCATTACTAACAAATATTTTTCATATGAATGCCTTTTACTCTTTTGTGTTACATTAAGAGTATCATCGCTTGCATCAGAGAAGGTATGAGTCAGCTATTCAGATAGAGTCCCATTCCACTAGGTTGGTGTATATTATTATGTAGCTAACATTTACAAAGTGTGTAAAGTGCAAAGCTGTTTATTCCCAATATGGAGTAAAAGGTGTCTGAAACCATGTAATTATTTGTGCAAACAAAAATGGAACTGTTTCATGTATGTGGCTGAACCAAAATATAAATAAATAAAATCTCGATTTGGTTAATCAGTATTCATTTAGAAACTCAAATAATAAAACCTTTAAAGTCACTTCACTGATTCCGCTTGAACTGAGGGCATAACTTTGGCCAGAATCTCACATGCTGCCATGGTCAAAAGCACATCTCCATACCGCTTACTAGACATGGATTTGTTGGGTCAACACAAATACCAGACTGGTTTACTAAATTAGCATCCTCAGTGCTTGGTTGAGAGCCCAGCAAAGAGAGGGGCTCTCTAAACTGCATGGAAGGCATTTCGGGGTGAAGGAGATTAGAAGAAGATCCCCCTGCCAAATTTTGTTTGGAAACTACAATGGTTAATTTTGTGTGTCAGCTTGACTAGGATGCCCAGATATTTGGTCAAACATTATTCTGGGTGTTTCTCTCCAGCTTGTTGATTCACCCTGCAGATCTTCAGACTTGTTAGTCTCCAAAAATTGGGCAAACCAATTTCTTATAATATCTCTTTAAACACGTATTATTCCTTACACATTCATATATGTTATATATATATATATATTTCCTATTGGTTCTCTTTCTCTGGAGAACCCTAATACAGAAGCTCTGATCATAAACTTATTCAAGGCCCCCAAATAAATTGTTTCTGAAGTGTGCCTTTTAAAAAATTCTGGTTAAGACATGGCAAAACTCAAGGCATTATCCCCTGAATGTATCATTTACTAAAGGAGAAATACTAATACCCATCACGCAAAGTTGTTAGGAGCTCAAATCAGATGACATATAATAAAGCATTGGGTAAATGGCTAAACAAATCTTTCTTATTAATTATAATTTTTATCTAAAGTAACTCATGGGTGATGGTGGCCTTAGAAGAAATATTCTACCTACATGACTTTGTAATAGCTGAAAAGTGGAAGACCAACCCCCCGACAAACACCATACAAATGTGTATACACACTATATACATGCATACTAACCTTTATACATATACACACACGTGCACACAGGCACTAACACATACACATCAGTTTTGGGGAAAAATAATAAAGCCAATTGTTGAACTGTTAAACATTTTTATTGTGTAGATTTATAACTTTACAGACATGCAGGATAAAAAAGTGTAAAATATATCAGTAAGCATATAAATTTCAGCAATCTTTTGGACCAACACTCAATCTGCATCTAAGTAGAACAGACATGTCTTGGGATAGGCAGTTTACAGACTGAATCACAAAGCAATTTCCCAAGTGAGTTTCCTTATATAAAGATAAAAATATCTTTACACTTAAAAAAGTATGCAGTATAGTACATTTTCAGTTATGTACACAGTTTAAAAGTAAAACTATGTTCATGCCAGTGTCTGTTTTAAATGCAAAAAATCAAAATATGTAAGATGTTGGTAATTAAAATGTCAGGAAAACTGAAAGGGACAAAAAAAAAAATCAGGCAGAGTCCATCTAACAGGTGTATGAAACTAAAAGTAAAAGCACAACTGAAGGTTAAAAATAAATTCCCCAAGGACAGAATCTTAATATGAGCAGGAGGAATAAAAAGCTTTTAGATGTACCAGGCAGCTTTCTGTATGACTCAGGTTTACAGGTAACTAACATTCCTCAGTTTGAGTTCGGAAGAATTCTAATTTATTCCAGCAAAACTACTCAATCTTTTATTACTGCCTCCTCCCCCATCTTCTCTCCGAGCAAAATGATGCTTGGATTAGGTCCAAAGCTCCTGGCAGGGGGAGGGGCCATGTGTCGCAGCATAACAGACGTTTGCAAGTGCTTTACTTTAAAGGGGTCACATTTGCAACAACTCTGACAGTCTCACACAATGGCCTCCATTTTATGAGCCCTTCCCCTGAGGCCCACTGATCAGCTGAAAAGGGAACACAATGTTCAGCCACTAAACCACCCCAATGATGGATTAGTTTGGAGTCAGGAAAGCGTGATTATTCTTGAAAATAAACGAAGTTGAATAGACATGCTGACCTCATTCAGCTGATGAGAGGCAGGGAAAGTTGGCTTCCACTCCTGCCAGCCCAGAGAGGGCTCAGCCCCATTTGTTCACCTTACTTCATTTCATGGGGCTGATGTGGATCATACTCCATATGGATAAAGATGTTGCATGATCAAGTGCAGACAGGAACTTCATCCGACTCTATCTCACAGTCAAAAACAAGCATGAAGAACTCGGTAATGTATTTTCTAATTTTGGTCTCTAGGAAGGTTGCTGATCTCATGAAAGCTGACCAGTTGGACCCTATTCGAAAAGGAAACTGTGAAGAACAGGAAGGCACTTGAGGTCTCATTATCTATATAAGAAATATTCTGGCACAGAAAGTATCTCAGGTTAAAATTTCAAGAAGAGTAAGGCATTAGTTGGATCATGTGAAGGCAGAGTATGTTTTCTAATTTGATAAAGATCACTAGATCCCACTGTATCATTAAAGTGGATGGCAGCAATCCACTAACACTTCAGATGGTAAGGGAAGAGTTTGCTTAAAACCAGCCCACATACCTGTACAATTAAGCCTGGAATTCTTCCCTTATCATAAAATGATCATTTTAGAATAGGCATTTGAGATTGTTGGTTCTTGTTTTTCTTCCTTAGTTCTTCATATTTCTCTCAAATTATCTTTTAACAATAGAGTCATATCTCAGGCAATAAAACAATGATCCACATGCAAATAAAAATGTAAGGAAAACATTTTAAATGAGTTTAAAAAATTTAGACCACCAAAAAAAAAAAAAAAGATGAAATAGCTCAGAAGAGATAAATAATAGCTCTGAAAACTGAGAGAATGATTTCTTTTTTTCTGAACCAAGAAAATTCACTTATATATTGTTGCTGTACTAGCAACTTAAAACTTGAAATTGGCACCGAGAAAATTAAAAGGAGAAAAAAAAGAATCAGATATACTTCTATCTTTAAAATGTCATTTATATTTCTTTCTGCATGTTGATACGGATATTGCTGAATATTTTGCCAGTAGCCTCAAAGAGTGGGTCACAGAAGGTGTGGATGCAGATGGAATAGACACGGCTGATGCACTGAATCTCAATCAGGAAACTCTTAATGTACGGTACAACTACCCAGATATGCAGGAAAGAAACAATGGCGAAGTAAATGCCCCAGATGAGTGCCATTGGGATGCCAAAGAGGCCAGACAGCAGGCGATAAAACCAATATTTCGTCACAGTGAAGGTGGTGAAGCTGGCCTTCCAGATGCCGTCGAAACTGTGTGTCCCTTCTGGTTCTGCAATCACATCTTCAAAATCAATCTAAAAGGAATAAGTGACAGAATATGAGCTTTAAACAGAAGAAAAGAAAAAAAAAACCACTACTGAGCATCCATAAATACATATTAGCTTTTATGTACAGGTTCTGTGTGAGATGCTCGAAGGCACCCAGCAACATCAGCATCCCTTGGAACTTATTGGAAAAGCAGATATTTAGGCCCCACGTTATTGCGTCTCTGGGGGGTGGAATCCAGGGGGAACTTTTAACATGTTCTCCATGTGTTTCTTTACCATGTGAAAGGTTGAAAAGTACTACTCTAGGGGAAACCAAATGGATGTGATAAAATTCCTGCCTTTAGATAAATTAGAACATTGTGAGCTGAGAGAACTGAAGAAGTCTGCACAGGATATTTTAGGGTCTTAAGCAGGGCTTGAAAAATGGGGTATGATTTGGAAAGGAAGGAAGAAGGGACCTTGGAAATGGTGTGAGCAAGGCCCCAGGAACAAGGACGGATGATGCAGTGAGTAGGCTGTCATCTTACAAAAGAAGATACGGTGGTTCAGAGAGGCGAAGGTGACTTGCTAAAGTCAAACATACAATGAAGGAGGGGCCAGAATGCAAACTTGGCCCCTTTCCCAGTAGCATGTTTTCCCACAGTACACATTCACCTAAATGACTAATTCTCAGGAGATTTCATCCCTCTGGAAGGATTTGTATAGACAAAACATAAGATAAAAAAATTACTCCCAGAAGAGTGGGACAGAGCCAGCTCAGCTGCTTGGCATTGGCAGATATACGAAGGGATCTAATGTAGTTTGAAATCCAAACAAGTTGATGCCTGCAAGCCGTGATACAGCCCAGCTCAGGATTAGGGAATGAAAACTTGGGTGAATCCATGGAGCCTCTCATTGCTAAGGAGCCACCTTGGATTCAACACAATAAAACTCTTGGAAAAAGTATATGATGCTTACCAATAGTTAAAGTTTATTTTCTAGGACATTCTGTTTCTTGATCTAGTGTTCAATGTCCTAATAATGTAATATGTAAAAATGGTATGTCCACAATTATGTAAATGAATTAGATAGATTTATTGTCCTTCTAATTTTTTCTTTGCTCCTTTAGATCTAGATTCAGAAATAAACATTAACTTGTGTGTTTTAAAAGGTTGTACGAAATATATGGCAAGTCAGATCGATTCTTTAATGAAGTTTCTGTGCAATTTACTTGTCTACTATGGGGTTTTGTTCTAACACTGCATTTTCCCAAAGCTATTTTTCTTCATTCAAATCTCAGATACTCCAACAATTTTATTTTTTAAAGATGATTTTGTTCTGTAAGAGGATTTGGTGAAACAATTAATTCTCAGGAGCTTTGGTGAAGTCAAAATTAATACACTAGAGCAGGCATTCTTAATTTGAGTCAAAGGATCGGCAATGGTGGCCCATGAATGCTTTGAAATAGGTACCTATGTTTTGAGTGTACAATGGGAGAGGGTCCATTACTTTCATTTGAGAATAAAGAGTCTATCTTCAAAGGAAGTTGGGAAGCACTTTACTGGATCAGGAGATTCCTACTTTTTTACAGAATGGACTTTAAACATATCTGCCTTGAGAAACTTTTCCAAGGGAAGAGATAGTTACTGATATTTGTTGACTGGCTATTATGATCATACACTGTTCTCATTTAACTCACAGTAACTTGGTAATATATTATTCTCATCTTATAGAAAAAAATGTGAGGTTCAAAATGTTAATAAATTGTCCAGGTAGATAAGAGGTGGATTCGAATTTCAAATCTTGTCTGAAAGATACAGACTATTTAATATCACATTGCTTTAAGAAATACTTTAAAAATTTTCTCTAAGGCAGTTATAATATTTCACAATTAAAAGGCACATTAACAAAAAAGAGTTAGCTGAATTTGACCTTACTGATAATTAGAAATTCCTATAGCATGGTGTTTGAGGACAGTGTTATGAGGTCATGTACATCATATACACAATTGGCTATTAGTGAATATCTATGAATATATGCATGTGTGTAAGATTTATTGATAACTTTATTTTTATAAACTTAAATATAAAGGATTTTAATCAATGAATGTGTATAAAATTCTTAAGCTTTAGTTGCTTAGAAAATTTCAGGGTAGCTGATTTTTCAGTGCTTTCCAGAAACTGCCAGTGAGCATGATTTGTCCTTAGTATATTCAATCAGTTAGTTGTTGCTCTAGTTTTGAAAATTTAAGGAGGCCTAACAAATACTAAAAGTACAGCTGAGAAGAAGAAAACAAGGGAGGGTTAAGGAAACACAATGGAGCCAGAAATAAAGCTTAGTTTCTCCCTACTTCCATTTCTACAACAGGAATAGTAATAGATTTTTGTGAAGAGTACATGAAATAATGTATGTAAAGTCCTTAGCATGGAGATAGAACACTGCAATACAGTAAATGCTCAGTAGGTAGAAGCATTAAAAAATTTCTTGCTCTGAGTGACTAAAATTTTTAATAGACAATTGTAATAAGAGGAACTACCAGCTGCAAAGTATATAGTGGCTGTGAATTCAACCCCACCAAAAGAACTAACTTCCATTTGTAATCATCTACCACAACCCTCTGAGATAAATCCCATTACTCCCATTTTGCAGCTGAGGGTAATGTGGTAGGTTAAGAAATCACTCAAGGTTATACAAATGCTAAGAAGCAAAGCTGGAACTTGTCCTACTTCAAATTTGATCTATTTTTACTTATGTATTCCCAGGGTGACAAGCCTTTATAGTAGTCTTACTTGCTTAATTTTCACCCAGATAGATGCGCTTTCTAAAACATTCACATTTTGATTATTAAGAAAATTACTCTTGTTAACAGTTCCATTTTAAGTTAGGACACTTAGTAACGAGGATGCTTTCCATTGTAGGGGCTGGTTGTATTTTCATGGCCCTGCACAGAGTGTTCTCTCAAGTCTGGGCACCCAGCCCAAAACTCTCACTCTAACTGACAGATAAGGAAACTGAGGCACAGAACAATTTAAATGGGCCAGACATTCTCAAGGTCCCAAGTGAATCAGTAGAAAATCTGAAATTAGAACTCTAACTTCCTGATTCCCAGGCCTATGTTCAGCCCTGTGCTCCACACTATTTCCCTAGGAAATTTTCCCTTACATCTCTCTCCCCACATCCCTCCACCTGGCCTGTTCATAACTCTAGGCCTTCTGTAAGTCTCTCATTGTCTTCTAAGACATTGACTTGAACAGTATCTCTGTGTGACGTTAGGAGAAATGTCCTTTTCACAGCATGAACACAGACATTTCTGTAAATCTATCCAGGGTGAAGAAAACTGGAGGAAATTGTTAAATAAAATATCCTCATTGCACCTTTTGACATATATTCATAATGTACTGAATCCAAAGAAGTTCTGCTAGTCATCAGTCATTCCATTGAAGGGCAACTCAAAATTCCACATCAATCAAAACACAGTTGCTTCGGCATATTCGTAGATATTTAAAGCTAAAAGGATCCTCAAGGAAATGAAGCCCCACTGGAGATAGAGAAATTGATGGCCATAGCTGTCAGATGACTGAGTCAAGAATATCTTCCCATTTAATGGCAGTTGCAGGATTGGAATTCAGGCTTAGGAGCCATTCTCACCTCTTCCACTACCTCTTCTGCTACCACCACACATCTTCATTCTGGCTGCTGCATTCCATAGCCAATGCAAAAGGCAGCTAGGCTTGTGTCTGAACTTGAATAGTATCTTGCTCTCAAGAGGTCTTGCAGGTCTATTGTTCAATAAATGTTGGTATCTCTCTTTGACAATCCCCATTGTACTCATTATCCCCATGCATCATCAGTTTGATTTAGCCCTCATCAAAACTACCACTCTGGAATTCCATTTCCTCAGGGATTCACTCTTCTTATCCCTCACAGGAGGGCAGGCCTTGACTGGAGCAGAACTTTACCTACTCGTTTAGATTTGGAGCAGAACAGGAATTAGAGATTTGCTTTAAAAACAAAAATAAACAGAAACAAGAGATGTAGGTGTGATTGAGCTCCTGCTCCAAGAACTGATTTTCTGTTCTGTAATTTACAGAACAAGTTGTCCTTATGACAAGAACCATTATGCAGACCTCAAGATCAAAGGCATAAATGTGCTTCAGTGATTTTTCTGTGTCTTAATAGATGCTTTAAAAGGAGTCAACAGTTTATATTACTAGATTATTATAAATGACATTAAATACCTTTGTGCAACATTGACTTATGAGGCTACAGTTTCAGAAACATAAGTCAACAAAAATCTAGCAGATGTCAGGAAAAGCAATTTGTCTTTCGTTTTGATAATACTGGGCTAATGCAGTAAATCTCAGAAGATTACATCTTATTAAATATATCTTATGGCGATATTTTAAAAACATTTTATATGTACACAGGATTAAAAAAATACGGGGTCATTTTTTGTCTCAAAATCTGGACTTTCTATTTCTGAATAAGAAATTTTTAAGAAGGAAACTTTAAGTATATTTAAGATTTTATAAGGAATGATGCTTGCATATTCAGTTTCTGTGGGAAAATATCTTTTTAGATTCGTAAGTGGAAATTGTGCTTGTATTAGATACATAGAACACTTATTAGATACAAATAACAACACAGATGTTTATAGCAAACTCATGTGTTGCCTGCTCAATATCCACAGTCCTACATCTCTGCCTGCAGAATCTTCATTATCCAGGTAATATCAATAATTCTTTGATCTCAGAGATAAATTGTGGTTTGTTTAGATTGCTGTGGTAATGTCAGTCTCCTTGATGAGTGATTGGTTTATGGTAGACACATGACCCCATCTGACCAATGAGATCTAAGTGGAAATCTACTGGATGTGGCTTTAAGGAAAGCTTTATCTTCCTTATAAAAAAAGACAGAGGTATATGATGCTGTCCTTTTCCCTTTTCATCCTACTTAGGATATGATATGTAGCCTTAATGTAGAGAAGTCATCTTGTGACCATGAAATGACATGCATGATTAAAAGGCCAAGAAAATAGAAGATGCTGC